CCAGAGACCTTCCCCTCTGGAAGAACCCACTGTCCAGGTCAATTGGCAGGTTTGGGGGGGAACCCAGGCCCACCCTCTACTCCGGGTTCCAGCCCAGGGCCCTGTGTACTGCAGCTGTCTATAGTGCCTCCTGTAACAGCTGCATGACAGCTACAATTCCCTGGGCTACTTCCCCAGGGCCTCCTCCAAACACCTTCCTTATTCTCACCACAGGACCTTCCTCCTGGTGTCTGATAACGCTTGTGCTCCTCAGTCCTCCAGCAGCACACCTTCGCACTCTTAGGGCAGGTCTTCACTACAGGGGGGGGGGTCGATTTAAGATACGCAAATTCAGCTACGCGAATAGCGTAGCTGAATTCGACCTATCGGAGCCGACTTACCCCGCTGTGAGGACAGCGGCAAAATCGACCTCCGTGGCTCCCTGTCGACGGCGCTTACTCCCACCTCTGCTGGTGGAGTAAGAGCGTTGATTCAGGGATCGATTGTCGCGTCCCGACGAGACGCGATAATTCGATCCCCGAGAGATCGATTTCTATCCGCCGATTCAGGCGGGTAGTGTAGACCTACCCTTAGCTCCTTGCGCCTCTTGCTCCCAGCTCCTCACACTCGCACCACAAACTGAAGTGAGCTCCTTTTTAAAACCCAGGTGCCCTAATTAGCCTGCCTTAATTGATTCTAGCAACTTCTTCTTAATTGTCTCCAGGTGTCCTAATTAGCCTGCCTGCATTAACTGGTTCTAGCAGGGTCCTGATTACTCTAGTGCAGCCCCTGCTCTGGTCACGCAGGGAACAGAAAACCACTCATCCAGTGACCAGTATATTTGCTCTCTACCAGACTCCTATACCCCACTGGTCTGGGTCTGTCACTCTCTATATATATATATTTCCTCCTGTCTCCAGACCATGAAATTACAGCACTTACATGAACACAGCAAAGGTGTATGATGATGCAGCTCACTCTACATATCAGCAATATGTGGATATGAAATAAGTTAAAAAAACAATTTTCTTTGGTGCATATTTTCAATACTCAATCAGCAAAGACAGATGGGACACTTACATTTCTCTGAGTGCAAAGCTCTGATAAATTTGGTCACTGTATCAGTGAATTCTCATTCTTTAAAATATTTTAGCTTTTATAATTTAACTTTAACACTGCATTTTCTGGCATTTTATGGTTTGGGGAGTTGGGTTTGTAACTCTGAGCTTCTATTGTATCATAAAAAACCTTTATGTGTATATGTGCCTAGGACCATGGAGAGTTTCTTATCCAACAGTTTTTTTCTTTTCCACATATTTTCAAGTCAGAATTACAGGATATTTTTAATGTTACATTTCTATTAAAATTACTACTTTGAATATTCATTTAACAAGTTTCTGAATTTCTATGACTAGAGCATCCCTCCGTCACAAGTCCTTATGCTACCTTTGAGATAAAACTTGCCTCCATAGAAAGTCAGCATAAGCTTGAGTGCCTCATGCAAGGTTTTTATGTCATTATGTTTCAGATAAAATGGTCTTTTCCCCCTCTTTTTCTTTTTTATGCAGAAAGAGAAAACACTAACTCCTGGAGGTCAGTGAAGGAGGGAACAACAGACATGACCCACACTAACCCAACAATAATTTAAATAACAATCAACAGGGAACCATGTGGTATTTTGCACCAGCTTTTATCATTTTAAATTTGTGCATACAGCAAGATACGGGGCCAAAATACTGAATGACAAGCATTTTCCCACTAACTTTATTTTGCAGATAACGAAGGGATATGTTTTGGTATTGCCAAAACCCCTTTTATGGCAATAGAGATATCCAGTTAAGGAGATTATTCTTGTCCATATCCTATACCAATATACAGTACTCACTCTTAAAGATACACAAAGAGGCATACACATACACACACACACTTGACATTTCTAAGATTCCCATCACTGCGGTATCTAGGCATCATAACACATGTGAAGTGCTTCATTTCTTGTTGGAATAGTGCATCATATGCCAAAGGATCTGAACAAAACTGTATAATCAAAATAATTTTTCATGACATAAGTCAGTGATGTAGATGGATATGGGGTGGAAAGTTGAGATGAAAAGTGTGTTACAGGGCTTAACCAAATGCATTTAATCAGCTAGGCCCAGCCTATAAAATTATTGACCTTTTAAAAAATGTCTTTTTGTAAGACTTTTTGTTAAGAAATGTAATTTTTGATTGATAATAGGAAGTAGCTGAGGACCGGAGTCATAGCTGTAACCATATACATTCTCTTTATTTTCCTTTGTGGTGGTCTTCTCAAAGCTGGGTTTGAGTTTGCACTGTAGGCTTTTGAATGTTTAGTCTCCCTTTTAATGTGTTTTTAGACTTCATGGCTCATGTTAAAAGCCTGCAATCAGTTTATAATTTCCATGAAATTATAATTAATACTAGAATTAGCTGCCTATTATGAACTTTTGGTTCATTCTTTCCAGGTAGCATTGATTTATTTACTTTCTTCCTAGACATAGTAGTTTTCCCTGAACTTTAGCTTCCACTGTAATAAAGTGTAATGAGTTGCCACAGCCTGAGTGATTGAACTCTCCAAAATTTTTGCATACTTGTTTAAATATTTATTTTTGCATTTTCTCCCTTGTAAGTTATTACACTAGAGTTAAGGCCAAGGGGAGGCAACGTTGCTATATTGCACTTTCACCAAGTATTTGGACTGTTTGATTATTTGTGTGTGTAATACTACCATATGTCACAAAAGCCAACCCTCATTTGAATCACACACTCATCCATTATATGAAACTGTTATCCAGGGGATTTCAGCTCCTCCTTCTTTAGACTTTGAGGTTTAATCAGGAAATAAAGAGTTATGCACTGAAGACCCTGAGCACAGCTGCTAAGCCTATGCAAGTTATACCAGACAAACCTTTGCTTTAACTTACACATTCTTACACCTTCCTCTGGCTCCTTGGTACGTAAGTTATATCATCTAAGATTCATTTACATGCATAACTACTATTTTTTTAGAAAATAAAAGTCCTTCCAGGAACTCTACCTCAATATAACGCTGTCCTCAGGAGCCAAAAAATCTTACCGTGTTATAGGTGAAACCGCGTTATATCGAACTTGCTTTGATCCACCGGAGTGCGCAGCCCCCCCCCCTGCCCCGGAGCACTGCTTTACCGCATTATAGCCGAATTCGTGTTTTATCAGATTGTGTCATATCGGGGTAGAGGTGTATATGCCATTTCATAAGACTGAACATGATGTTTCATAAAATTATTTGGTTAAATATTAAATATAATTTGGTTAAATAATTATCCTCTGAAATTAGACTTCCTTTCCATATTGCCATTATCATAAGATAATAGTGATTTTCAGCCAAATGACCAACAGTAGCATTAGACCCCAAACGGCTCAAAACGACAAACTATTTTCAATAGTGCACTGTGTACTTGACAAGAAATGTGTCCCACCTTCAGGTCATGGAACAAAATGGGTGCACTGTTCTTGTAAGGAATACAGGATTAGAACCTAATCTCCTTGGGCAGGGACTAAGGAGAGTATTCTCCACTACATTGAAGCTGTAATGCTCCCCAGCAGAAGGGGCTTCCCAACAAGGTGAACAACATGCGTAACCATCTCTATGCCACTTGCTGCAAGAGCCCACAGTGCTGGAGGTGTTAGGATGCTGCTGCTTGTGGAGGGGATGTAGCTGGTGCTTCTTACACCTCCGCTATTTCCTAATAATAAAACAGGCCATGGAGCTGTTCTCATTGAGGCTCAAGTTGAGCAAATCCTCAGGACTGCTAGGCTCCCATCAATCAGCCCCAAAATAAGGAAGGCACAAGCCTCTCTTCCTTTGTCCATTCACCTCTTGAATCCCCTCTTTTGTCCTCTGTGTTTTGTAAAGGGCCAACCACACTGTTGGTGCATAATTAATAACAAACATTCAAAAGAGGGGCTGTCAAATGATTAACTGACATACTTTTATCATATAAATATTTGTTTCATGCCCTCTGTTTTGTAAGTAACCAAAACTTTAAGGCCTATCTTTATTTTTACAGCTGGCTGACTTTCTGTTGAATGTGACTGTTGAGGGAGATGCATGGGCTGCATACTTTAAAACTTGGCAAGTTGAGCATTGGGAAACTTTTTTTTTTAAACTTCATGTGCACTTGCTTACAGAATAATGGGGAAAATAATTGTACATTTCATAAACCATTCTACTGGGGCTTTGAGGTCTTGATTCTTTTAATGTATTTAAAATGGTTTGCCGCTTAGCCTCATTAAGCCCATACTCCCTCAAGATATGCCCTACTTATGCACAAAATGTAGCAGAGAAATGTGTGTGTGGGATGGGGGGGAGCGGGTGTCTCATGGTTTCCCCATTAGATTCCAGAAGTTAAAGAACTTTTGCAAGGTGGTATGAATTTCCCTAGTGATCCTTTTCGAAAGAAAGGATTTTGCTGTCCACAATGCAGTCAGCTGGAAACCTTGCAAACAGCCTTCATCTATGCTGTGCTTCCAAGGGGAAAATCACTGCAAGGAAAATTGATTTTAGGGCCATTGACCTCAGTAACAACAACATGCTTTGGCCCACCCATGCAAGAAGTAAACTGCAGTGCAGTCATTCAGCCAATCTGCAGATTGCCTTTACTAGGTCTCTCTTCTCCCTTAGCTGTAATATGTCTTTTCACTAAAGAACTTGGCTGAACCAGAGCTAAAAAATCTAAGGAAAGTTCTGAATTTCATGTAACTTGAGCTGAAGATGGTTGTGCTGCTTCCTACAGTGTCAGATCCTAGACTATATGAAATTAATTACAGATCAGAGATGGAAGACCTTAATGTCAGGGAGCAAGTCAGATAACTGATGCAATCTGAGGCAAAAGTCTATGGAGGCAATGATAATTAAAATAAACCTTTTCGATGACACCTATGGGCCAGATTCTGTTCTCATTTACATAGGTGTAAGTCTGGAGTAGTTTCATTAGCTTCAGTAGATTTTATCCAGATTTACCCGGGTGTGAGAGAGAACCAGATTTGACCCCCTCTGGTTTAGAAAAAGGCAAACCTACAATATTCTTCCATCAGAGTATACAAAAGCAACAAGACGGGGAAGTCTACTGTGTTTGTTGCTAGTGATGGTGAAGAACAAAGATGTGCACTTTCCCTTCATCGGGAATGAGACTGACATGTACCAGATGAACTAGTCAGGCAGCTCCTATTGCCTGGCCATAATTTCTAAGTTGCTGTGCTTAGATCTTTATGAAGCTATAGTACTGTACTGTCTACAAAGCTAAAGCATTTGGTTGATTAAATTGTCTTCAAAAAGATGCTTCAAAGGATTCCTATACAATGACTAGAACTAAATTATGGTGTAACATTAGCTGATTAAGACAAGACTTCAGACTGAGTAATTCCAATCAGATGGACACAACAGTGGTTAAAGCAATAATGTCTATGTGCATAGTGCCTGATGTGAGTCATCATAATGTGATGAGGCACAAAGAAAAAACAAAATGACATATGTTTTTTCTAAGAATACAGATAAAGGAAAATTGACTTAATCAGTGATTTCTAAATTATTATTATTATTTATAATATGCAGTGTTGTAGCTATGTTAATCCCAGGTTATTAGAGACACAAGGCGGATGAGGTAATAGCTTTTATTGGATCAACTTCTGTTGGTGAAAGTGACAAGCTTTCGAGCTTACACAAAGCTGTGTACACCTTGTCTCTCTGTTATATATAGTGTCCATCTCTCATATGTACTATTATGATCACCATTACCATAAGTACCTGAACACCTCATACTCTCATGTATTTCTCTTCACAAGATACAAATCTCTTTTTCCTATTTAGATTGTGAGTTCTTCAGGGGAGGGATGTGGTTTGTACAGTGCCTAGCACATTGCAGCCCTAATCTCAGTCGGAGTCCTATGTACTACTCTAATACCAATAAAATAATAATAATAGTGAAGGAGCTTTTAAATTGAAGCTAACCCACTGTGAACAAAGCAGAAATTGAAAATCACATCTGTGGAATATTTTAGGTGCATTTTAATTAACCATAAATGTATATCAAACTGGGTATATCTTTAAGTCTGCATACTCTAGATATGTTTTCATAAACAAGCCTATCTTCCTGAAAAAACAACCAATCCCCTCCAAATGGTTCACCTTAAACAGTGAGATGACTCTTGTAGCAAGACTGAAAACTTGTACAAGGCAATGAGATGACTCTTGTAGCAAGACTGAAAACGTGTACAAGGCTTAGTATGATACCTTCGAAAATAAGATTTCCAGTTAAAGAAGGTAAACCAACCTTTGTTAGCACAGGCCATCCATTTGAGGTTGTCAGCAAAAGCAGCTTCTCTTCCGATCAGATAGGTAAACATGCGAACCTAAAAGTACAATACAAGAGATTAACTCACTTAATACTACAGTTCCATGCTTAAAGCATATGCAGTTTAGCTATTTTACATATGTGCAGTTCACATGTGTAGAAAAACATCACAAAGGTTTAAAGGCTTGCTAGTTTAAAAATCTATGCCAGTAAGATATTTATGACATAGTGCGTTTCTTTGTTCTGTTTAACAAAGTGGCTTATCACTGTGGATGTTTTTAATATCTGGCACTTAACCAAAGCCATAAGTAAAGATAAAAGAAAACAAGTTAAAACTATTGGTACATAATATGAAGTCATATGTTTGAGATGTCTGTTGTGCAGTTGTGAATTTAGAAGGCTGTTCTGGTCCTGGGATTGTATTTTAATAATTAAATACATCATTGCTATAGATGTGGGAACTTGAAACAACCTGCTGGAAAATCCTCTCTGTCTTTCAAAAACAATATATACACAGCGGTAGATATACACGCGACACTGATGATATCCAGGTGGTAAATTGCAGAACTATGTGACAAATTACTTTGACCGCCCTCCTGAACTCTGCCCACTTATCCATCTCACTGACACTACTAACGTTTCAATTTTGTGTAGCTTCAAACAGCTGCCATTTAAATGTAAAATAAAATAAAACCAACCCAGTGAAATGATTCCCTCTCTTCAAACACCTTCACTCAAATTCTTCTCTCTAAATTACAATTTATTTAATATAGATACTTAAATGATTTCCATTATCTTACTAGCTGAGTGCCTCACAAACATTAATGAATTTATCCCCACAATACTCCAGTAAAGCATGAAGTGTTATTTTACGGATGGGAAACTGACAGAGGGGTTACATGATTTCAATACAGTCATGTAGGAAAACTGTGGCAAAGCTGGGAACTGAACTCAGATCTCCGGAGTCCAAAGACTTCCCCTTTGGAAACAATATTTTCCCCTCAATTTTACTCACACCCACTTCTATCATCTGATGCATTTTATTTTGTAATTCTTTGTACTTCTCTAATGGCTTTCAAATTGCAAATATGATACAAGTGTATTTCATATGTTAATTATGTGTGACAATGCCCCAGTAAGTTAGGTATATTATTATGAGGGACGAAACTTTTGTATTAAAACACCAAAACAGGTGAAACTTCCTGAAACTCATCTGTTTGGATTTTTGATGAAACCCTCAAATTGACAAAGGCTGGCCAGGGACCCATAATCTCCACAAATCCATCCCTTAAAAGGAATCAGTTCTCTCTCCCACCCACTATCATTTTCTTTGTGCCTTCCAGAGACAGGTACTGCTACTTCCTCCCCCAACAGGATGCTTATATCAATCTCCTGGTTTCTTCAGTAACCCATTCATCCTCATCTTCTGTCTTTGGGATGCCAGCAAGACAGGCCCGGCTCCACACTAGACTTACAGAATATCTTCAGGGAAGCAGAAAATGTGCCTACTTCCAGACCACAGAGTTACAGCCCTGAAAACGATTGATCAGAGCTCACAAACAATGCCTTCCTTCCTTAACTTAATGACTAGAGTATTTTTCCCTTAGGATCATAACAAAAGCCAAACAGGAAAGAGAACATTAGAACACCTGGTTCTTTTTCTTGACAGAGACTCTACAGGAGCTTCTTCAGTTTGTCTCTCACTTGCAAACAGTTTGCCATAGCTCTTATCAAGCCATCAAAAATCAGGCTTAAACAGATTTTTAAGAGATTATAAATGTAGAGTAAGAACACAATGTCATATAATACTTTTTATTAGTATTTAATAGACCTTTTAATTGGAAACATAAAACAATACTAAATGCTGGTTTCCGTCACCTGAAAACACCACCACAGATTTCAAGTCATCATTATCAGGTAAAACATATTGCAAGGGATGAGGGGTTGTTGTTGTTTCTTTAAACACACTTTTTGACAAGTACACATCAGCATTTTCTGATTGCAAATGGTTCTTTAAAAAAAAAATGAGATCCACTTAGTTTATTCCAATCAGTAAAACTGTTAATACAGTAGCATGGAGGAGATATTCAAAATCTTTGTCTCAACAAGACCATCCCTTCTAGTGGATATATACTATAGAATAAGTGCAAATCAAATAGCTCAACCACTTCTTTAGCAGAGCTAAGTTATGGGTATTCCCACAGAGATGAATTTACAATGGACATTGAAGCCCTGGTCCTACACCTTTGTAGTCAACGGGAGTTTTCCCATAGACATCAGTAAAACCATCTTATCACACACCAGTTAATTAGCTATCACAAATATTTAAATTTATGAACACTTCTTTTGCTGATAAGCTTTTTCCTTTTTAGTTCCACTTCAGCTGCTGTTTATTATGCTCCCAAACATTTCAGATTGAATTTTTGAAATCATGGAAATAATATCACTGACAGGAGCTGGCCATGATCTCCAACTATTTTTGCTATAGTATTTCCATTTTGACCGGCAGTATCCCCTGCTATTCCATTCTTTCCTTAAACAGAAACCACCAGTATCAAATTGCATGATTATTTTGTGATGTGAACAAAAGGAAATTAAGGTGAGATCAAAAACTCTTTTATTTTGAACCCAGTCTTCCAAAAGTAAAAAAAATTGTGCATCATCTCACAATGACTTCCAGTCTCCTCTTAGCTGTTTAGAGAATGCTGCTTTCTTTTCTTATCAAAGCCTCACACTTGTCAGGTTTGTCCGACACGCAACATTAAAGTACACAGCATGCCATTAGGAAGTAATATTACTCTTTTTTTTGGCACTATTACTGCTTCTTCGCTTTTTGACTAAGATCAAATGCAGTGTCAGTTTCATACGTGATGTGACTTCTATTGAAGAACTATATTCTGCTCTTTCAGGCCAGTGGACTTGATTTAATTAATAGATATCTCTTTTATCTCTAACTTCTGTGATCCTACTGCAGTAGCCTGATGTAACCCAGCAAAGCCAGACGAACACATATACTTTGAAAATAAAAGTATTTTCCCAAGATGTATCTTTGAGACGAAAAAAGCCTCGAAGTAAAGTAATCAGATTTCATATTTGATACTTAAATCTCTGAAGGTACTTTCATAGACTTGGGTACATTTTTATGTTTTTTCTTTTCTTCTATAGAATGCGGTACTTTAGAACATCACATCTCAACTTTAAAAAATGTTTAAGGTTGAAAAGTAACAGGTAAAGACAACACTTAGCAGATCTTTTCCCTGGGGCTTTTTGTTGTGGTCCGTATTTCGAGAGGAAGTTAAATTTGAGTCAATAAGGCCATGAATTCCAAGAGGTTAGATGCATCAGACAGTTTATGCAGTGAGAGAGGAGAGGGAAGTACATGTCTGAATAGAGGACAAAGTGACATATTTATGTGGGAAGATAAGAAATGAATAAGTCTATTTGTTTTTTGCGAAAAGTTAGTAAGTCCTGCTAGGTTCAAAGGACCTTCAATACTAAAAATAGTGAGAGGATGAAACAGATCTTTATAGTTTAAAAATATGGTAGGTGCTTCTTTGGAATATTTTGCTGTCTCAAAACCAATTTAATACACAGGTAATATGTTTCCTGTAGAAATGCAGACGTTCAGTGTTTTCAGATTTTAACCATGAGGAAATGTAATAAAATTTTTTCAAGACTGGCAAAAAGAATTATTCTTGAACCCAAAGGGTGCATAGATTTTAGTCATGGTTTTAGAATCCAAATAAATGCTAATTTTTCAGTGCAGATATAGAATATGTTAATTCAATTTAAATGAGCACCATGGGAGACATATTTAAGAAATAGTTCGTTTCTAAATATCAGGTGCTTCTTCAAACACCTAGCAATGATATTCTGCCCTCTGAGTAGATCAGTCAATGGGAATCTGTAGTAGTGATGCTGTTCTATAATATTATATTCTACTGGGTAGGTGGGTGGATGGATAGACAGGCAGACGTATACATGCACACATCCCCTTAAATTAAAAGATTCAAGAGTAGAAGCCTTGAACACTAGCAAAATAACATATCTCAAAAGTTATTCATTACAAGAACATTGCTGAAAGCATGACCAAACAAAAACCTGACACTAGAAAGAGAGACTCTTTGGCCCTCTCTAGACCAGCAGAAAAACTGTTTAACAAGGATTGAGGAAAAGCCAAAGAGTAGCTTAGTTTGATGACAGATTCAAGACTTGTCTCATTTTCTAATGGCCTTAATTGTTTTTATTAAGACTCTCAGCAAGGAAGATATTTTAATTAAACACAGGAATATAACATGTTTTGTAGTAACAAATATAGTCCCCATATTATTTGTGAAAATAGAGAAAATTATGAGCTGCATATTATATAATTAAGAGTTTCAATTCAATACAAAACCAAATCCTGCTTTCATCAGTAGAAGGCAAGACAACTTCATTGAAGTATCACTGTCCAACAAACTTTCCCACAGATACCATGTTAGAATCGTGGCTTAAAAAAAGCAAGAAAAAACAAAGGCTTCCTTTGCTTCAATCCTGTAATATTCATTAGTTAATTTTGGTTGCGAACTCGCAACGTGGATGATCTTAAATAATCTGGGAAACAAATTGATATCAAAGGAATATCCAGATGTAAAGAACTTTCAAAATCCTCTAAATTAATATATTTACAATTTAAACAAATACTCGACAATAATATTCCTTCCATTTTTCAATTAGCTATTCCTGCTCATTTGCAGTGAGTCAAAAATGATTTGTAGAATACCACCATTGTAGGTAAAAGTTCACATACAGTGTGATTTTCACTTCAGATTACTGAAGTTTTTGGAAGTTCTTTCTCTTTTCTTTAAATCCAGTCCTTTTTGTCAGTTTAACTACTTTTTAAGGTCCAAATTTTGCTTTAAGGTTCATTTAGGTAGCTCCCATTTTACTGAATGGAAGTGACCTGCGGCCTACGCCCAATTGCAAAAATTGTCCCAAATATGTTCCCAGTTGTTCTAAAAATCAAACACAGAAAATGTAATCATTTACTTTTTTGTAATTTTGTTAAAAATATATATA